ATTATTTGGATCTTGAATGGGGACTTCGCCGTAATCAAAACGTTTTGAAGTTAACTGCTTCCCATGGGGAGAGAGAGAGAGAGAACAGAGAGAGCAGAGAGAGTGGGGTTGTTTGGCATTCAAATTAGCTTAGTATTTAGACAGTTTCTTATAAGAGTTTCGCCGAATACTTAACAGTTCCGGATAACATTTGAAAAATATCAAAAGAAAAGTCTAGGTAAGCATATGTTGACTGACGTTAGAGAGTCAGTCAAATGCTCGACATATGTTGATTGAAAATTTTATTGACTTCTTGAGTCAGTCAAAAGAAAAGTCTTTGTCTGTATATTCATTTATTTACTGTAAAAGCGCCAAGCTTGTTTCCGATTTCTTGTGAGTGGTCGATTGAGCATGGTCAATTCATTGCTGTACACGACATATCTATCCAAATACATCTGCTCAGGAAAAAATCCAGTGCCACTTTAGCTCAGAAATGCAGCGATTCCTCATCTCCTGCCTTTGCATACTGTATATGGTTTTCGTCAAAGCGGTTGGAGCAGGACAAGATACGTGCACAGAATCTAAGTGCAGTGATGATCATGGCCTGGCTATCCATTTCCCGCTCCACCTCAGACATCATTGTGGTGATCCTGGGCTTGAATGCAATGGTAGACAGGAGAAGGTTCTTGAGCAGCAAGTAGCACTAATAAAATTCTTTGTCAAAAGCATAGATTACAAGCGTGGGCTAATCGAAGTATATAACCCAGATGGCTGCCTGCTGTTAATGCCCTTAGAAACCGCTAACATTCCAATCTCCCCCTTAAACTTATTGGATTATGAAATACGTAACGTTACCTTATTCAATTGTCCTACTCCGCGGCGGCTGCCTGCTGAAAGAGATATATATCAAGTCCCCTGCCTCCGCGGCGGCCCTGGCTACAGAGTTCACGGCATTTATTCTGATGATGATTTGTTTTACAGCCTCCCGCACCTAAAGTCCTGTACAAGGATGTATGATGTTTTATCAGTTCCATTTCCTACTTGGGATCTAGGGGCAAGAGGTTACAGCTCTATTCTTCGCTTTAAATGGTCTAAGCCAAATTGCACGAAATGTGAAGCGAGGGGCAAGAGGTGTAGATTGAAGGACAATGGCATCAACAGTGAAGTTGAATGTTTTCACCCGAGGAAAGCAAGTAAGGATTTTTTCACATATATTCTGCTCAATTTTTTAGAGTTTCCAAAGTAAATCATATTTGCAAACTTGATGACCAATATGATAATCTGCTACCTGCGGGTTCAGGGTCATTTTCACAAACATGACAATCTGATTTTGAAATCATGTTTATGTTTTATAGGCAAAACAATGGAATTCGTGGCAACGGGTGAGTTATCTAAGACTGGTCTTTTCTTTTGTTTTGTTTCATGTCCAGAAGACGTTGGAAGAAATGTGTTTGCTCAAGGATTGTATTTACTTGCAGGTGCATCGCTGGGTTCATCCCTTCTTTTAGTACTGGTCATTGCGGTGTATCGTGTCTATAGCGCTGATCAAAAGGAAAAAGAGCATCAACTGAAAATCGAAAGGTTTTTAGAGGATTACAAAGCTCTCAAGCCAAGCAGATATTCATACGCAGATATTAAGAGGATCACAAATCAATTCAAGGACAAGTTGGGCGAAGGAGCCTACGGAACTGTTTTTAAAGGAAAGCTTTCTTCTGAATTCTTTGTTGCTGTGAAAGTACTTAACAATTCTAAGGGAAATGGGGAAGAGTTCGTAAACGAAGTGGGAATGATGGGCCATATCCACCACGTCAACGTAGTTCGCTTGGTTGGCTTTTGTGCTGATGGATTTAGACGAGCTCTTGTTTATGAGTTCTTCCCCAATGGTTCGCTGCAGGATTTCATTTCATCAGCGGATAGTAAGAACAGTTTCCTTGGTTGGGAAAAGTTGCATGATATTGCTGTAGGCATAGCCAAAGGCATTGAATATCTTCACCAGGGATGTGATCAACGAATCCTCCATTTTGATATCAAACCCCATAATGTTTTGCTAGACCACAACTTCACTCCAAAAATTTCTGATTTTGGTTTGGCCAAATTATGTTCCAAGGATCAAAGTATAGTGTCAATGACTACAGCTAGAGGCACCATGGGATACATTGCACCTGAAGTGTTCTCTAGGAATTTTGGAATTGTGTCTTACAAGTCAGATGTCTATAGTTTTGGAATGTTGTTGCTAGAGATGGTAGGAGGAAGGAAGAATATTGGTTCAAGCACAAAGAACACAGATGAAATTTACTACCCAGAATGGATCTATAATCTTCTAGAAGGAGGAGATGACCTACGAATCCATATTGGAGATGACGGAGATGGTAAAATCCCAAAGACACTTGCAATTGTAGGGCTCTGGTGCATCCAATGGCACCCGGTGGATCGTCCGTCTATGCAAATAGTGGTTCGAATGTTAGAAGGAGGAGATAACTTGGTCATGCCTCCTAATCCTTTTGTCTCTGCAGGTCCTACAACAACCCATGCAAGCATCCCAGCAAGACGCCTAGAGTTAGAAGCAATTCCTGAATTAGAGTAAAATGTAAAAGTATATGTACACGCACCAATGTAAGTAATATTAAGGCTGCCTAATATTAACTACATATGTGCTCGAACTTGTTGAACATGTAATAATTCTAGCCTAAATTGAGGGAGTTGGATATTAGATACTTTATTCAAGGGACTTAAGTTATTTGTTGTTGTTGTTGTTGTTGTTGAGAATTTGGGAATCCTATCCTTTGCAAATCAGTTGGTAACAAAAAGTTGGTATATAAGTTGGTGTCCGTTGCATATTGATACCTTTTTTTTTTTCGATCGACCAATAGAAAAGTGGTCTCCATAACTCTTGTACTCTTTAAGATACCCGAAAAGGTAATTAGAGCATTCCCATTGGAGAAAAACTTAATTAGGGAGAGCCTAGCCATGTAGCAGATTGACTGGCAGGTTATACCAAGTTAAATGAAATGTATATTTTATAAAGTACATGTCACTAATCTTTGTTTTTACAAGAAAAAATATACTCTGAGGTTGGAGATCATGAATCTTGAGGTTACTCAACACTCCAAAATCAGTCCAGAGCCAATAAAAAAAATATATATCATATCAGTTGCTTTCTAAAACTTTGGAATTTTGTTTATTCGTTAATGCTTTCTTTCAAGTTCTTAGAATAATGAGGAGTAAAAGTTGAGTTGAAATTAAAAATGAGG